AAATAATATTAATATGAATATGAATATTAATATTGATATTAATATTAATATTAATATTTAATATTAATATCAATATTAATATCAATATTAATATTAATACTAAAATTAATATTAATATTAATATTAATATTAATATTAATATTTGATATTAATAAATATTAAAATTAATATTAATATTAATATTAATGTTATTATTATTATTATTATTATTATTATTATTATTATTATTATTATTATTATTATTATTATTATTATTATTATTGTTATTATTATTATTATTATTATTATTATTATTAATATTAATATTAATATTAATATTAATATTAATATTAATATTAACCTATTGCTGCCGGGGAAAATGAACAAAAAATGGGGAAAATGCTGTGCCTATTTTCTATACTTTTTTGTTAATTAAATGTCTGCCCATAGCTTTGAAATGGCGGGAAAAACGTATTTTTCACCAGTGCCATGAATATCGATGGTGTTACTTTTATTATAAGCATAATTTTTATAATGTTTTTTAACACTAGTAACAGGAAAATAAGATAAGGTAAAATATTTCGTAAATCAAAGAAAAGGGTGAACAGGCGAGACAGGCGGTACTCGTAACTGGCTCATTGGTGATTTAGTACAAGTGTAGCCATCTATGTGGGAAAACAATCTAACAAGTAATCTCACAGTGGCCATGGCATGGCATGCCCGGCGGGAATGGGTTAATATTAATATTAATATTGATATTGATATTAATATTAATATTAATATTAATATTAATATTAATATTAATATTATTATTGCATTTTTCTTCACGAGGCCTAGTTCTTATCCTCGGTTGAAGCTTGAAAGCAGGTGACAACAAGTCCCCAAAGGTTTCCAGCTTTTCCTTCTCCTTCTGCTGCCAATACTTTTCTAAGGATCCTAGCAGTCCCAAGTAGTGCTGTTTTTTTCATTACTTCCAAACTGATATCTTCATCACACTCTTTGATGTCCCCTTCCGATTTCTTGCTTACAACTCCTAGAGCACCGATTGCAACGGGTATGACTCTGACCTTTTTCAACTTCCAAAGCCTGGCGATCTCATCTTTTAATGGCTGATACTTTTCTATTTTTAGGATTGTTATTATTATTATTGTTGTTGTTATTATTATTATTATTATTATTATTATTATTGTTGTTATTATTATTATTATTGTTATTATTATTATTATTATTATTATTATTATTATTATTATTATAATTATTATTATTATTATTATTATTATTATTATTATTGTTATTATTGTTATTATTATTATTATTATTATTGTTATTATTATTATTATTATTATTGTTATTATTGTTATTATTTTTATTAATATTATTATTTTAATAATAATATTGATAATAATAACTGTATTTGTGTTGACAAATGAAGAAAAGGTGTGAGTGATACTGAATATCTTCACAATACAAGTGATGTTCTTAACCCGTTTCATCATCACCATCACCAACATGATCATCATCACCATCACCATCATGGTTGATGTCATTATTACATATGGTGACTATTACTAATGGCCTGGGTCTTTGAACAGGGAGGAAGCAGCTGGACGTCAACATGCAGATGAGCTGCTCTTCCACAGGATGCTGTCTTTGTTCTACTGGCCTACCTTAATGAGCAAGTGCAGGTGATTATGGGTTTTCATTAAAGTATATTTGTTGTGAAGGTGGTTTATAGGATTATATTGTACGTTGCCAGTTCCTCTTTTGGTTTTACTGGATCTTGTTGCCTTGTTGTGTGTGTCCTTTGATATTGGTGTGATTGGGAATTGTCACAGGCAGTTGTTTTTTTGTTTATAACTATAGTCTGTTAATGAGTTGCATTCCTGATGGAAAGGGTGGTAAGTCTATTTATAAGGGTTTTGGGAAATGTTAAGTGGTAGATTTACATATTGAAAAAAAAACAATGATTTTTTGGATTGGATTGGATTGGACGTTTGTTTTTTTGCTGTATTTTTTTTTATTTGATGCAAGTTTTTATTTCTTCTTGAATTCATCTGGTATTTTGTCAAAAACCAAAAAGATTCATTGTTTATTTCTGGAGAAAAGTATAGGTTTGGAACAGCAGAGTCAAGTTTTTCCAAGGAGAGATACAGTAGGATTTTGGTTTTCATTCCACTGCAATTTCTCTAATATCTACTTGGAAACCATGCATTTATCTAGAAAATGTATCATTATTGTTATATGAATATTGGTTGAAATATAGAAACCCAGCATTTCAAGGGCCTGCATGTAAGGAGCAGAATCAAGAGTTTGAGATATGTTATAGTTATTATAGACCTATAGTATACTCTATCCCAAACACTTAACAGATGATATGATAATTTATCCCAAAATGTTACCAACATATAAATAGTATAGTATATAAACCCAAGAGAAGATTGTGGTACATAAATATTCATGTTTGCAGTCCTCCAGTGCAGCACACTCAAGCAGCTAAGGAGAAGCAAGCTGCTGCCGCTGCAAAGACTGAGAAGCCACAGCGAGTGAAAAAGAGGCTTTTGTTAACCAAAGATGACCTTGAAACAGAGGTAAGACTATTTCAAGCATTTTCTTTTATATATTTTTATGTATATAAATATATGTAAGTAAGTGACATATATACATGAATGTAGGTGTGGTCATACACATGCTTCTGTGGACATGAATGTGCATATGCATGTATACACAAACATGTGCAGATGGACCCATGTATATATGTATATACACAAAGGCACACATGAACACACACACACCTACATCTATACACCTTCACAATCACACCTGGATGCCCACACCACATACTTGCTCCCATATACCCACACCCACCCACATACACCCACCTGCACCCACAAGCACCCACATGCACTCACAAGCACCCACACACACACCCACAAGCATCCACAAGCACCCACCCGCACTCACAAACACCCACACACACTAACAAGCACCCACACGCACCCACACATACCCACATGCACTCACTTGCACCTACTTGCACCTATTTGCACCTATTTGTACCTACTTCCACAAGCATCCACAAACACCCATGTATATATGCACCTGTTATCACTGTTCTTCTTATATATATTAACATAATTTTTATCAGTATTATTTTTTTATGAAATCTTTTATGATTTATTAGTATTTTTAGAAATAGAATTTTAATATTATTTTCTCCATCCTTACCAGGAACAGGAAGAATACATATCCCACTTAGAAAGAATAGAAAAACTGCGTAAAAAAAAACTGAAGAAGCGGCAACTTTCCACAGACAGCTCAGAGGATTGTGCAGTGGAGGAGAATACAGTTTACGCAACACCTTCAGAAACAGATGGAACTGAAGGGGAATTCACACTGGAAGAGGAGGAAGGAACTGATTCCCAGGTATATGAAAGGTAAGTAAAATGGTGGCTACTGGAATACCATGCAAGCAGCAAATCAGAACGGTATCATTTCTGTTTTTAGAAATAGAAGGCATGATATACAAGAAATATCCACTGTAATTTCAAGGAGTTAAGTACTATCAGTCTTACATATCTCACCTGTTTAGTCTTTTATGTGACTTTTGGATTTTATTTTTTGAATTTGTGTAGTGAGCTTCAGGCTGCCGATGGAGCCCAAGTTGTCAAGAGAAGAAAGGAAGGAGGCAGAGGGAGAGGACAGGGAAGTAGAAGTGGAAGTGGAAGTGGAAGAGGTAGAGGAAGAGGAAGAGGAAGAGGAAAAGGAAGGGGAAGAGGAAAAGGTCGATCCCAAGAAACACTCGAAGGAAGGAGTAAAGAGAGCCACACAGACAAGAATTTTGCATGGAAAGTCACAGAAAACCAGTCGGAGTTGAAGGATAGAGAGAGTTCTAACTCAGAAGAAGATATTCCCCTTAATCTGGGAATTGGTGTTAATGTATACAGAAGAAAACAGGGTATCACGAATCTTAAAAGATCTCTTATTATGAAGAAGGTAATTATTACATAAGGAGAAAAACCTTCATTATGTAAATTACTATATACTAATGACATACATGTTTAATCTGATATATGTTTTTTAGATTTTCTGTTGATTATGAGTGTATCATAAGATGCCAATCATTCTGGACTTTATTTTTGCAATAACTATGTCAAATTTTTATTAGGTGTGGGAGAAGAGACGCCAGGGCAGTTACCCAGATCGCACAAGCAAGAGACAGGCCAGGGTTTATCAGCCCCGAGCATCCAGAACGAGAGACTGCGTGCGCAAGGAATTTTTGAGGCCCCCCAAAACCCCAAGGCCATGGGACCTTCCCCTTGATGGTCCTATAAGGGTGAAGCCCATGGTGTCATCTGACCAGACAGAAAATGACATGGCTAATGAAGAAGGAGGAGAAACAGGATTGTTGGAGTAATGTAGTGGTATTATTCAGTTTTTCAAGCCAAGAAATGCCCTCCTTTGGGTTCATCAGGTCACACTGTGTCATATGAAGAATTCTTACATTATTCTTCATATAACATACTTTTCTATTCTTCATATAACACAGTATTTTTCATATACTTACAGAAGAGTCTTTTATGTTTAAAATTTTGTTGTTTGTTGTTTTGTTGTTGAGTGTTTGTCTCTGTCTGTGCCTTTGTTCATGTGTCTTTCGAGTTCTTTAATTAACAGGAAGAGGTAAATGAACATTTAAAATGAAATAAAGAATATAAAAATATTCTATGAGGACTGATTATTTTATTTAGATACTTGAGGAGCAATTATTTTTATGAAAGTATTGTTATTTCTTGTTCATCTGAGGCATATAAAATAATTTGTTGTCAGTTGTTTTAGAGCGGGATGGTGAAGTATGTGTAAAATGTAGTTTTTGTATAAAACGAAAAGTCAAATTTTGTGATGTAAAGAAAAAAGAAAATTGAAATATGGAAGAATGGATATTATTTGTCCTGTTCAGTTACAGATGTATGTAGAAACTTGCATCTGCATCTGTTTGTATGTATGCAGTACATTTGCACATGTAGATATGCATAGATTTTCTCCTTATATTTGAACATGCATTGTTATTCTCCAACTTTTTGTAGGAATCAGGAAAACACTTGGTGAAATATACTTGTATAATTCTTTATTTAACATTTCAGTACAGTTCTTTGAAGAAATGATTTGTTATCTGGCTTGTAGAAGTAATGGCACTTTGTTTGAATATTACATTATTCAGCTGAAGTTTTCTTTTAAGAGTGTTGTGGCTAATAATACTTTCTGCACACCTCCTAATCTGAAAATATATTGATTTCATTTGAATGAGGAGTAAAAATGTGTATTCTCTTAATAAAACGTGGTATGACGGAAAAATTGAAAATAAGCATTCCCATTGAATGTGCTAGTAATTGTGTTAACATTAATCTAATTTTGTTAGTATTTGAAACAAAATATGTATGGAGTAGAGTTATGCTTTTTATATATATTATTTACCTTCATACTTATGTTGAAAAACAAGGAACAACAACAAAAAAAGTACAGTGCCAGGTGTTATAGCACATAGCAGTGTGTGAGATACATGCTTACCTTCTACTGATTCATATTTAATTTTGAAGCCTGCATAATTTCCAGCACTGTTGCTGTGGAATTTAATTTCCACCCTGTTACTTGAGGATGTCATAGTGGGAGGGTCCAGGTATCCACAAAACCTTCTCCTGGACAGATATAAACTTTGTAAGGAGCAAGCAGAAAATAAGATAATGATGATTGCTTGTTCTATCATTAGTGCAGTTCATGAAGTGAATGATGGGACAAAAGTATTTTCATTTGTTTTTAACGGATTTCCATATGAGTATACAAAGTATTTTGAATATGAAGGATCAGTGCCACTTAAAGTAACTTTTAGAATGTTTTATAAATAATATAAAAAGATTATTATAAGGCCAATGCAATCAGATATTGTGAAATTTAAAAGTGTGTATTTGCCATTTTGCTTACTTTTGAATGAGGTTATGCAAGTAAAAGGAAAATATCTTGAGTGATCAGAAACCCAGGTAATGTTAAAACTGGTCCACTTCCCTTTTACCCTTCGTCTATATTATTAGATATACAGTCAGAAGCGCAAAACTGCAAATATCTTTAACTATCAAAAGTTTGTGTATTTCATACTTCAGAAGAAAATCAAAATGGGGCCTCATTTACCTACAAGAAAAGTCCCGTGATCCTAGGAACTTACCCTCCAATCAATTCCTTGGTCGTGGTGCCGTCCCAGATCTCAACGTAATCACACTTGCAGTCGGTGCACCTCTCCAGGGCGAACATCAGCCAGGTGATCTTGATCTTATAGCCTGGTGGTCTCTCAATAACCCAGCTGCAGTCCGTGTTGTTCTCATATTTCCCAGACTCGACAGGGGCAAGGTAGCCCATGGAAGCAAGCATTACTGTCACGGCAAAAGGTGGTTAGATATTTTGCGTACTCATCACCCTGCATATGGTTTAGTTATTTACAGAAATGATTGGAAGGTAGTCTAGTTGATTGTGTCATGAAAAAGTGTGAAAAAAACCCACTTGGCACTCAAGTTTACAAATAATATAAGTCATTCACTCGTGTGTGTAAACTCACTCACTGACTTATTCATTTACTCATACTTTCTTACTCACTCACTCACTCACTTACTGACACTCACAGTCACATTCATTCACAATCACTCACTCACTCACCCACTCACTCTCACTCATTCACTCACTCACTCACTCACTCACTCACTCACTCACTCACTCACTCACTCACTCACTCTCACTCACCCACTCACCACACTCACTCCTCACAATCACTCATTCATTGACTGACTTACTCATTCATTCACTCACTCCCTCACTCACTCCTCACTCGGCTCATTCTCACTCACTACTCATAATCAATCATTCACTAAGTCAGTCACTCACTCACACAGTCACTCTTAATTATTTACTCACAAACACTCACTCACTTATCTACTCCCCTCCCCCCCCCACACACACATACACACAAATATTTACCTTGATTCTCAGCACAAGTTGAAGGAGCATCTCTGCTAGTCCTCGCGCCTGTAATGCGATCAAAGAACTAATAATTACCACAATTTTTACACCAGTAATAAGTATCCTCTTTAGCACCAGTTTCCAGAAAAGAAGTTTAAACGTCGTTCCTCAAGGCCATGTTAAAAACCGTACCTCCTTTGATGAACGTCTGGATGTTTTCCAGCATGGTCTTCAGGTTTTCGATTTCTGAGCGGAGTTGTTGAGCCACGGTAGTGAGGTTGTTGTTGGCGTCTTGGCTCACTGCTGCGATTTCCGACATGAGTTCTTCCAGTTTGACGTTTGTTCCTGAGAGAGAGAGGTGTTTGCGTAAGTGTGTGTGGAGCTAACTAAGGGAAGCGTTGGCGAAAGGTCGTGTGAAGCTAACGAGGTGGAACGTTTCCGCAAGGGTGTGTGATACTAACGAGATGAAACGTTTGCGCTAGGGTGTGTGATGCTAACGAGATGAAACGTTTGTGTAAGGGTGTGTGAAGCTAACGAGGAGAAACGTTTGCGTGTATGTGAAGCTAAGGGGGAGTAATATTTGCGGAAGAGTATGAAGCTAGGGTGTGTGATGCTAACGAGATGAAACGTTTGCGCTAGGGTGTGTGATGCTAACGAGATGAAACGTTTGCGCTAGGGTGTGTGATGCTAACGAGATGAAACGTTTGCGCTAGGGTGTGTGATGCTAACGAGATGAAACGTTTGCGCTAGGGTGTGTGATGCTAACGAGATGAAACGTTTGCGCTAGGGTGTGTGATGCTAACGAGATGAAACGTTTGCGCTAGGGTGTGTGATGCTAACGAGATGAAACGTTTGCGCTAGGGTGTGTGATGCTAACGAGATGAAACGTTTGCGCTAGGGTGTGTGATGCTAACGAGATGAAACGTTTGCGCTAGGGTGTGTGATGCTAACGAGATGAAACGTTTGCGCTAGGGTGTGTGATGCTAACGAGATGAAACGTTTGCGCTAGGGTGTGTGATGCTAACGAGATGAAACGTTTGCGCTAGGGTGTGTGATGCTAACGAGATGAAACGTTTGCGCTAGGGTGTGTGATGCTAAAACGTTTGCGTATGTGTGTGTGAAGTGAACTAGGGAAAACGTTCTCGCAAGTATGTGTGAAGTAATTTGAACCGTTGGGAACTATTATGAGTTGATGCCTGTACTTACAGAAATGAAGTCGTTCGCTATTTTTTCGTTGCCAAATGGTGCATAGCGGATTGTACTTTGGAATGTCTCTATGTGTGTTTTTTTGTGCGTAACTACCTATTAATTTAGCCTACAGACATCATCGTATACAGCCAACAAATCCCGCTTTTTGGCACCATCTTACATCCCACCGTGAAATATATGGATTTCCCGAGAGAGCTGATCTATTTCCCAAGAGATTAAAACGGAGGAAAACTACCTAAATAAACTTCAGAACACAGACTAATTTGAGCATCACATATTGGTTGTCCTTTCTTTTATCTTTTTGTGTCGTTCCCCCTCACTCTCTTTCTCTCTCTCTCTCTCTCTCTCTCTCTCTCTCTCTCTCTCTCTCTCTCTCTCTCTCTCTCTCTCTCTCTCTCTCTCTCTCTCTCTCTCTTCTCTCTCTCTCTCTCTCTCTCTCTCTCTCTCTCTTTCTCTCTCTCTCTCTCCCCTCCCTCTCACTCTCTCTCTCACACACTCCCACTCACTCCTTCCCCCCCTCCCACTCCCCCCCCTCCTCTCTCTCTCTCTCTCTCTCTCTTTTTCTCTCTCTCTCTCTCTCTCTCTCTCTCTCTCTCTCCTCTCTCTCTCTCTCCTCTCTCTCTCTCTCTCTCTCTCTCCCTCCCTCCCTCCCTCCCTCCCCCCTCCCCTCCCACCCTCACCACCCTCCCACCCACCCACCCACCCACCCACCCACCCACCCACCCACCCACCCACCCACCCACCCACCCACCCACCCACCCACCCACCCACCCACCCACCCACCCTCCCTCCCTCCCTCCCTCCCTCCCTCCCTCCCTCCCTCCCCCTCTCCGTCCCCCCTCTCCGTCTCCCTCTCCGTCTCCCTCTCCTCCCTCCCTCCCTCCCTCCCTCCCTCCCTCTCCCTCTCTGCCCCCCCTCCCTCTCCCTCTCCTTCTCCCTCCTCCTCTCCGTCCCCCTCCCCCCCTCCCTCTCTTTCTGACGCAGTTCTTTCGTCATACGCGCGTCTGCCAGATATTGCTACCCCGATCCCCTTCCTCATTAGAAAAAAAAAACAAAAAACAAAAAAAAACAGCTTCACGACAAGATAATCCACAGGGGAAGTTCATACGCACTCGTGACGTCGATTAAGAGAGAGGACAACAGGAAGAAGATAAGAGATAAGAAAGGTGACCGGGAATGAACCCAGTTTTGTTTGTTTACTTATTATTATTATTTTTATTTTTTTTTTTCTCTGGAGGTATTTAATCACACGGAAATATTGGCCTCTGCATCTAAGACTGTTATGTTTCAGGTTTTTTTTTCCTGAATTAAGAGTGTATTTAGCAGTCAAAATATACTTTGAGACAGAGGTTGAGGCCCAATTAAGGGCATCTCCCCTGCCTTAGGCCTTAGCCCCTCGCCTCAGCTAATTTTGCAAGGTCTTTTCTTCTCCCCCTTTTCTTTTCCCTTTCTTCTTCATCCTCATCTTCTGTCCACTTATCCTAATTGTAAACTTATTTTATCCTTTTTCGCCACAGTAGAATGCTATATGACCATTGGTGTTCAGCACATTTGTTTGTTTTAACCATTAACCATATAATACACCCACACACCCACATCCACATCCCCCCCCCCCCCCACACGACATATTAACCATAATAGTGTTTCAAAATAATAATAGTTCCATGATCGTGATAAATTCCCACCCACCCACCCACCCACCCACCCACCCACCCACCCACCCACCCACCCACCCACCCACCCACCCACCCACCCACCCACCCACCCACCCACCCACCCACCCACCCACCCACCCACCCACCCACCCACCCACCCACCCACCCACCCACCCACCCACCCACCCACCCACCCACCCACCCACCCACCCACCCACCCACCCACCCACCCACCCACCCACCCACCCACCCACCCACCCACCCACCCACCCACCCACCCACCCACCCACCCACCCACCCACCCACCCACCCACCCACCCACCCACCCACCCACCCACCCACCCACCCACCCACCCACCCACCCACCCACCCACCCACCCACCCACCCACCCACCCACCCACCCACCCACCCACCCACCCACCCACCCACCCACCCACCCACCCACCCACCCACCCACCCACCCACCCACCCACCCACCCACCCACCCACCCACCCACCCACCCACCCACCCACCCACCCACCCACCCACCCACCCACCCACCCACCCACCCACCCACCCACCCACCCACCCACCCACCCACCCACCCA